GTGACAGACATCCCCGCAGCACCTCACCTCTCCCTCCCTGTGGATGTTCTCCAGCCCCATCCCAAGCTGCACAATTTTACCTTCCCGAGCTGCAGCGGGTCCCAGTGGTGATTCACAAAGGCCAAGATCTCCTCAAAGTCAAAGTACTTCTTCTTACTCTGCACACCCAGGTTATAGAGGGCGAGATGGACGACATCCACCCTGCAAGAGCGATGGGGTTGGCAGGGTCAGCAGCCCACCCTCTCCCCAGCAGGATCGTTCCAGTCTAGTTTTCCAGCTTTTTAATAAGCCTCAGCCATGTACTCTTGCTGCAGTTAGGTACAGTACATCTTATTCATGTGAACGTAGCTAGGTTAGCAAGCTGTGGCTGCCCCAGCCCTGGCAGTGTTCAAGGCCAGGTTGGACACAGGGGCTTGGAGCAACCTGCTCTAGTGGAAGGTGTCCCTGCCCTTGGCAGGGGGATGGAATTGGATGAGCTTTAAGGTCCCTTCAACCCAAACCATTCTATGGTTCTACAGTTTTATGAAAATAGGCTATTTAACAACCCAATGCATGCAGTGAGATTTTACACTTGTGTCTCTCAAAAAGAAAGACAAGCAACAGATCCTGCAGGATTTCCCTTATTCTTCTCCTCGCCTGCTGTGCTGCTCAGTGCAACATTCCTGAGCAGCCACATCCCAGCAGCACATGAGCACCAGTAACACAGCTGGGAACAAGAGCAGCAGCAGGGAAAAGCTGAGCTGCCAGCACTGATGTACTTCACAAAGTGCTTTCAGACCATCAAGGTACACAGGAGATACAAAGGAGCTGGGGCTGTTTCTTACCATCTCAGGGGCAGGCGCTTGATGTACTCAGGTCCCTGGTTGCACACGGAGCAGAAAAACACATAGAACCTGGAAAACACCGGGGAGGGAGAGCGCTGGGGTGGAGGTCACCCCACAGCCATGTAGGGCCTGGGGAAGGTTGGGGTGAGGAGCGTGCTCCAGTTGCTAACAGTGACAGCATGGCCAGGAGGAGCTGAGCTCTGCAGGACAGGGCCACCCGCCTGCACCGGGGCAGCTGAATCGGAGAGGTATGGACTGGGGATGTGTCCTTGCATGAGCTCTGACATCCAGCCCACAGAGTCTGGAAGGGACGTACCGGTCTCCAAACATCATGGGGTCGTTGAGGCACTGGGTGCAGGCTTCATGGAACCACTGCCGGCAGCGGTAGCACTGCAGCATCTTCAGGTACCACCTGGGGCGGGAGAGGAGACGGGTGACAGCCAGGGCAGCATGTGGCAGCCCCGGCCCTGGCCCTCCCAGGCACAAAGCCCTGAAGCAGGGATTGAGAGTCTTGCCCCAACTTGTATTTAATGCAGCCACAAAGGTGGGTGCAAATGGTGTCTCCGGGAGTGAGCAGAGACCTGGATGGCAAAGCCAGGACAGTGCCCTGTAAGCTGGGGATTTCTCTCCCGGAAGGGATAAAATCCCGACCCTGATCCCATCTTCCTTTGGGAATGCTTTTCCCCACCAAACCAAACACAACCACCCTCCCAGCAGACAGGGACCTACTCGCCGGGGCCACCACAGTAGCAGTAGCACTGCTGCTGGTTGGTCCGGTGTGGGGAGTCCCACTCGAGCAGGTCGGGGTTGTAGGACAGCTCCATCTTGACGGCTTGCAGCGTCTTGGCAATGGCCCCCTTCTTCAGGGCACCCCCTTTCTGCAGAGATGAGCAGGAAAAGGGTCAGCACAGACACTTGGGGGCCCCATCCTGCACCAAGGGTGGGCAGCACAAGGAGCAGGGAACCCCGGGCAGCCCCACTCACCCGCACAGCCAGGGCAAATATGCAGCGGCGGCAGAACCACGGTGTCCCCAGTGGGCCCTCACCACCGCTCGCCACTGGGACGTGGCACTGCTGGTGATAACCTGTGGGAAGGCTCAGCATGAGCACCGCTGGGCTGGCCAGACCCTCGTCCCCATGGTGGGATACAGCCGATCACGGGGTGCCAGGTCCGCACTCACCCAGCCCGCACTTCCCGCAGATGAGGATTTCATTCGTGGGACCTGACGTCTTTCCCAGGCAGATGTTGCACTTGGGTTCCTCTCCAGGGACACCGGCTGCAGGACGGAGATGGTGGAGTCAGGGATGCACAAGGCAAAGTCCCATCTCTCTGGTGCTGGGAATGACTCACCAGCATGACGGTGGGAAGGGAAGACAGGGAAGCACTCACCATGCTGGATATCCTTCCAGAGGACCCAGTACTTGGAGTTGTCCTCAAACGTG